AGGTGAGTATGACATCATTCTTCAGTGTATGAGGTGAGTATGACATCATTCTTCAGTGTATGAGGTGAGTATGACATCATTCTTCAGTGTATGAGAGGTGAGTATGACAACATTCTTCAGTGTATGAGAGGTGAGTATGACATCATTCTTCAGTGTATGAGAGGTGAGTATGACATCATTCTTCAGTGTATGAGAGGTGAGTATGACATCATTCTTCAGTGTATGAGAGGTGAGTAAGACATCATTCTTCAGTGTATGAGAGGTGAGTATGACATCATTCTTCAGTGTATGAGAGGTGAGTAAGACATCATTCTTCAGTGTATGAGAGGTGAGTATGACATCATTCTTCAGTGTATGAGGTGAGTAAGACATCATTCTTCAGTGTATGAGGTGAGTAAGACATAATTCTTCAGTGTATGAGGTGAGTATGACAACATTCTTCAGTGTATGAGAGGTGAGTATGACATCATTCTTCAGTGTATGAGAGGTGAGTATGACATCATTCTTCAGTGTATGAGAGGTGAGTAAGTGAACATCTATATACCTTAGATGTGATGAGTCAGAAAATGAGTCAAAGATGAGGTAGGATATATTAGGATATCTTTAGTTGATTTCGGGGCTTTAGTGTCCCCGCGGCCCGGTCCTTGACCAGGCCTCCACCCCCAGGAAGCAGCCCGTGACAGCTGACTAACACCCAGGCTAGGTAGGTAGGGGAGCCGGTCGGCCGAGCGGACAGCACGCGGGACTTGTGATCCTGTGGTCCTGGGTTCGATCCCAGGCGCCGGCGAGAAACAATGGGCAGAGTTTCTTTCACCCTATGCCCCTGTTACCTAGCAGTAAAATAGGCACCTGGGTGTTAGTCAGCTGTCACGGGCTGCTTCCTGGGGTGGAGGCCTGGTCGAGGACCGGGCCGCGGGGACACTAAAAGCCCCGAAATCATCTCAAGATAACCTAGATAGGGGGCATTCAGGGTGAAAGAAACTTTGCCCATTTGTTTCTGCCTCGTGCGGGAATCGAACCCGCGCCACAGAATTACGAGCCCTGCGCGCTATCCACCAGGCTACGAGGCCCCTCATATCCCAGGAGGTATCCTGGGACAGGCCCCCTAGAGGTATCACATTAGCTAACCCACTCCCACAACAGCAGAAGGCCGGGGCCCAGGAGATGGAGTCCAACCATACACCATACACCATACACCTTCCTCGGGAATATTATAGTAAAGAATTAAAGTTAGTTAATAAAATTATTTATCAACGGTGTTTTCAAACTACAGTTAATTGTGGCGGCGTTCACTGTGTTAATGTGGAGCAGTTTAGTAGATTATAATGTTTGTGTGGGGGGTGGGGGGGGGGGTTGTTTGGGTCTGTAGGATGGCGCTGTTGTAGCTCTTGGGCCCCGCCTTTCCAACGGTTGGTTGTGTAATGTACTGATTAGTTAGATCTCTCTCTGTCTCTTTGTCTCTCTGTCTCTCTCTGTCTCTCTCTCTCTCTCTCTGTCTCTCTCTCTCTCTGTCTCTCTCTGTCTCTCTCTGTCTCTCTCTCTCTCTCTCTCTCTCTCTCTCTCTCTCTCTCTCTGTCTGTCTCTCTCTCTCTCTCTGTCTCTCTCTCTCTCTCTCTGTCTGTCTCTCTCTCTCTTTCTCACGCAGACGACGCAAAGTTGATGAGAAAAGTTGTGACAGATGAGGATTGCAGGATCCTCCAAGAGGACCTGAACAGGTTGCAGAGATGGTCAGAGAAATGGCTACTGGAATTCAACACGAGCAAATGTAAAGTTATGGAAATGGGACTAGGAGATAGGAGACCAAAGGGACAGTACACAATGAAGGGGAACAGCCTACCTGTAACGACGCGTGAAAGAGACCTGGGGGTGGACGTAACACCTAATCTATCTCCTGAGGCACATATAAATAGGATAACGACAGCAGCGTACTCTACACTGGCAAAAGTTAGAACATCATTCAGAAACCTAAGTAAGGAGGCATTTAGGGCGCTTTACACTGCCTACGTAAGGCCAGTCTTAGAGTATGCCGCCTCATCATGGAGTCCCCATCTGAAGAAGCATATAATGAAACTGGAAAAGGTTCAGAGGTTTGCAACGAGACTCGTCCCAGAGCTACGAGGGATGGGGTATGAGGAGCGCCTGAGGGAACTGTGCCTTACGACACTAGAAAGAAGGGAGAGGGAGGACATGATAGCAGCATACAAAATACTTATGGGAATGGCAGAGTGGAAATAGAGAAAATGAATAGTAACAGAACGAGGGGACATGGGTGGAAGCTCGAAACTCAGATGAGTCACAGAGATGTTAAGAAGTTTTCTTTTAGCGTGAAAGTAGTTGAAAAATGGAATGGACTTCAGGAACAGAGAGAAAGAGAGAGAGAGAGAGAGAGAGAGAGAGAGAGAGAGAGAGAGAGAGAGAGAGAGAGAGAGAGAGAAGAGAGAAGACAGACAGAGAAGGGCTGGAGACCTGAGCATCACCGGGTACTACATATATAAGGTTTGAGTGAAACATACACATGTATACAAGACCTACAGCTCTGGCCTCCAGTGAGCCTCAGGCCACATATACACACATATACACACATATACACATATACACCACCAGCAGGGATGGGAAGGCCCTGAAGGTCTCCGGGAGACGAACGCGTTAATACGATTAAAGATTTTCCAGAATATACACACGGCCGACATCTGTGAGGACACCCTCACCCCTACACTCTCCCTCACCCCCTACACTCTCCCTCACCCCCTACACTCTCCCTCACCCCCCTCTCTCCCTCACCCCCCTACACTCACCCCCTACACTCCTCACCCCCTACACTCTCTCACACCCCCCTACACTCTCCCTCACCCCTACACTCTCCCTCACCCCCCTACACTCTCCCTCACACCCCCTACACTCTCCCTCCCCCCTCACCCCCCTACACTCACCACTCCCCCCTACACTCTCCCTCACCCCCTACACTCTCCCTCACCCCCCTACACTCTCCCTCACCCCCCTACACTCTCCCTCACCCCCTACCCCCCTACACTCTCCCTCACCCCCCTACACTCTCCCTCACCCCCTACACTCTCCCTCACCCCCCTACACTCTCCCTCACCCCCCTACACTCTCTCCCTCACCCCCCTACACTCTCCCTCACTCTCCCCCCCCTACACTCTCCCTCACCCCCCTACACTCTCCCTCACCCCCTACACTCTCCCTCACCCCCCTACACTCTCCCTCACCCCCCTACACTCTCCCTCACCCCCCCCTACACTCTCCCTCACCCCCCTACACTCTCCCTCACCCCCTACACTCTCCCTCACCCCCCCCACTACACTCTCCCTCACCCCCTACACTCTCCCTCACCCCCCTACACTCTCCCTCACCCCCCTACACTCTCCTCACCCCCCTACACTCTCCCTCACCCCCCTACACTCTCCCTCACCCCCCTACACTCTCCCTCACCCCCCTACACTCTCCCTCACTCTCCCTCCCCCTACACTCTCCCTCACCCCTACACTCTCCCTCACCCCCCTACACTCTCCCTCACCCCCCTACACTCTCCCTCACCCCCTACACTCTCCCTCACCCCCCTACACTCTCCCTCACCCCCTACACTCTCCCTCACCCCCCTACACTCTCCCTCACACCCCCTACACTCTCCCTCACCCCCCTACACTCTCCCTCACCCCCCTACACTCTCCCTCACCCCCTACACTCTCCCTCACCCCCCTACACTCTCCCTCACCCCCCTACACTCTCCCTCACCCCCCTACACTCTCCCACACCCCCCTACACTCTCCCTCACCCCCCTACACTCTCCCTCACCCCCTACACTCTCCCTCACCCCTACACTCTCCCTCACCCCCTACACTCTCCCTCACCCCCTACACTCTCCCTCACCCCTACACTCTCCCTCACACCCCTACACTCTCCCTCACCCCCTACACTCTCCCTCACCCCCCTACACTCTCCCTCACCCCCTACACTCTCCCTCACACCCCTACTCTCCCTCACCCCCACTCTCACCCCCCTACACTCCCTCCCTCACCCCTACACTCTCCCTCACCCCCCTACACTCTCCCTCACCCCCCTACACTCTCCCTCACCCCCCTACACTCTCCCTCACCCCCCCTACACTCTCTCCTCACCCCCCTACACTCTCCCTCACCCCCCTACACTCTCCCTCACCCCCCTACACTCTCCCTCACCCCCCTACACTCTCCCTCACCCCTACACTCTCCCTCACCCCCTACACTCTCCCTCACCCCCTACACTCTCCCTCACTCTCCCCCCCCTACACTCTCCCTCACCCCCCTACACTCTCCCTCACACCCCCTACTCCCTCACACCCCCTACACCCCCTACACTCTCCCTCACCCTACACTCTCCCTCACCCCCCTACACTCTCCCTCACCCCCCTACACTCTCCCTCACCCCCCTACACTCTCCCTCACCCCCTACATTCTCACCCCTCACCCCCATACACTCTAGCTCACCCCCTACACTCTCCCTCACCCCTACACTCTCCCTCACCCCCCTACACTCTCCCTCACCCCCCTACACTCTCTCCCTCACCCCCTACACTCTCCCTCACCCCCTACACTCTCCCTCACCCCCTACACTCTCCCTCACCCCCCCCCTACACTCTCCCTCACCCCCCTACACTCTCCCTCACCCCCCTACACTCTCTCCCTCACCCCCCTACACTCTCCCTCACCCCCCTACACTCTCCCTCACCCCCTACACTCTCCCTCACCCCCCTACACTCTCCCTCACCCCCTACACTCTCCCTCACCCCCTACACTCCCCTCCCTACTCTCCCCCCCTCACTCTCCCTCACCCCTACACTCTCCCTCACCCCCCCCACTCACCTGGCTGGCCGGGCGGGAGTTCGATCAAGATCAAACGGTTCGATCCCCCTGATGGGATCTGGCTTGCAATAAGTTCTGGACCCCGTCAAACAGGTCCAATATTGCCCCTTCAAGTGTGAATGGGGAAAAGGTTGTAAATACCTATTAGTTGTGGGTTATTAAAGAGTTGTAATTGGGCGGGAGGTTGAGGTCGCCGGCTCTCACACGTGTGTCTTGGTGGCGGTCCGGCTGCCTTCTGAGGGTCTGGTGGTGGGAGGCGCGGCTTATATAGCCTCGCGCGGTGGGCGGGGCCTCGTCTCGCTCCTATTGGTTGGTCTCCGTCACGTGATAATGTTGCTCTCGCTCCCATTGGCTGATCTGCCATGACGTCACAGGATAAATTTATTCCCACCTTGGTAATATCTCCAATTGCCATCTTTGTGAATGTTTCAACTGAACTCTCCGAAATTGACCTTTAAAACCGCCATCGATAAAAAGCACTAAAATACATTTTGAACCTTAAAAAGCATTGGATAAACACCCAGTAGTATTAACTAAGAGAATTATATATATTCAGTTAACCCGAGAGGCGATTCGAACCCTTTTTCAAGCCTGAAACGATACTAATCAAACCTAAATAAAACGAAAACGTACGTAAGATTATGGAAATATTTCGTGTTCTGGCGATGATCCGTTAGGCTCAGGTGGGCGGAGTCACGAATTTGAATGGTAATTTTTTTATGTTTTTCAAGGTTGGGCTTCAGCTCCTGGACCCGGCTTTACCTCGTGGGTGTGGCTTGCCTTCTGTTTATTATTCTCTTCACTGTGAAAGCTGTGGAATCAGTTATATCTGTCTGTCATAATTCATAATTGTAACGACTGTTTAAAGTGAAAAATTATGGCTGGATTTTATATATATTTGATGAAGACAATGGCCAAGATGGGAATTAATAATGATGACAAATATACTTTATATGTCGTGATCAATATACCTCCCCCCTAATACTTAGGTACCTAATACCTCCCCCCCCCCCCTCTCTCTCTCTCTCTCTCTCTCTCTCTCTCTCTCTCTATATATATATATATATATACAACACCACACAGTGCTATACAACACCATACAGATGTCAACAAAGTTTTCGACTGGGCAGCAGAAAATAACATGATGTTTAACGGTGATAAATTCAAGGTACTCAGATACGGCAAAAATGAGGATCTTAAACATAATACAGAGTACAAAACACAATCGACTCTGCTCATAGTAGGAAAACAGCATGTCAAGGATTTGGGAATAATGATGTCTGACGACCTAACGTTTAGGGAGCATAACCAAGCAAGTATTGCGTCAGCCAGAAAAATGATCTGATGGATTACGAGAACTTTCAAATCCAGAGATCCCATCACAATGGTTGTACTCTTCAAGTGACTTGTGTTGTCCCGTCTTGAGTACCGCTCAGTACTCACTTCCCCCTTCAGAGCAGGAGAGATTGCTGAAATAGAGGGAATACAGAGAACATATACGGCACGCATAGACGAGATAAAACACCTAAATTATTGGGATCGTCTCAAAGCTCTCCAAATGTACTCACTAGAAAGGAGACGAGAGAGATACCAAATAATATGCACATGGAAAATAGGTCCCTAATCTACACAGTAAAATAACAACGTACTGGAGTGAACGATATGGAAGAAAATGCAGAATAGAACCAGTGAAGAGCAGAGGTGCCATAGGCACAATCAGAGAACACTGTATAAACATCAGAGGTCCAGTGAAGAGCAGAGGTGCCATAGGCACAATCAGAGAACACTGTATAAACATCAGAGGTCCAGTGAAGAGCAGAGGTGCCATAGGCACAATCAGAGAACACTGTATGAACATCAGAGGTCCAGTGAAGAGCAGAGGTGCCATAGGCACAATCAGAGAACACTATATAAACATCAAAGGTCCAGTGAAGAGCAGAGGTGCCATAGGCACAATCAGAGAGCACTGTATAAACATCAGAGGTCCAGTGAAGAGCAGAGGTGCCATAGACACAATCAGAGAACACTGTATAAACATCAGAGGTCCAGTGAAGAGCAGAGGTGCCATAGGCACAATCAGAGAGCACTGTATAAACATCAGAGGTCCAGTGAAGAGCAGAGGTGCCATAGGCACAATCAGAGAACACTGTATAAACATCAGAGGTCCAGTGAAGAGCAGAGGTGCCATAGGCACAATCAGAGAACACTGTATAAACATCAGAGGTCCGCGGTTGTTCAACGTCCTCCCAGCGACTATAAGAAGTATTACAGGAACAACCGTAGACATCTTCAAGAGAAAACTGGACGGTTTTCTAAGAGAAGTCCCGGACCAACCGGGCTGTGGTGGGTATGTGGGCCTGCGGGCCGCTCCAAGCAACAGCCTGGTGGACCAAACTCTCACAAGTCATGCCTGGCCTCGGGCCGGGCTTGGGCAGTAGAACAACTCCCAGAATCCCATCAACCAAGTATATGTGGGCCTGCGGGCCGCTCCAAGCAACAGCCTGGTGGACCAAACTCCCAGAACCCCATCAACCAGGTATATGTGGGCCTGCGGGCCGCTCCAAGCAACAGCCTGGTGAACCAAACTCCCAGAACCCCATCAAGCAGGTATACAGAGCTACAACAATTTATTTCGTTCCTCTCCCAGACAATTTGTCATACTGTGAGAGGTAAAGCAAAATCACAACTTATGTAATTGGTTAATAAATCACAACTATTAAATAATTGGTTTATAAACCTCATCTGTCCTGAATGTGGTTATAAAATATTATCTTTGTGTTGTCATTCGGCTGAAATAATCTTATTCCTTCTCTCTCTCTCCCGCCGCTCAGCAACTCACAATAAGTATAAATTAAGTAATGTACATGACCCGCGCGCCTCTGACACCATGATTGATGCGCTGACTCCACTACACCTTATTATAGAATATTAAGTTAGCATCACGCTCAGAAATTATATATATTTTAAAAATTTTATGCATTTATATAATTATGTAATAAATATATAATTATATATTTCTCATAATTATATTTGTAATAAGTTTATATATATTTTTTTTTTCGAAATTATATATATTTTAAAAATTTTATGCATTTATATAATTATGTAATAAATATATAATTATATATTTTTCATAATTATATCTGTAAAAAGTTTTCATATGCTTTATATATTTATATATTAAGTATTTAATCCTATAAAAATTTTATATATATTCTCATAAATTATATATAAAATTATATTATAAATTTTTTTTAGCCTTTTGCCCCCTCTCCCAAGCCTCCCCCCCCCCCAAAGCCCTCCACCCAGATAAACAATCCCAGTTACATCATTACCGTAACGATTGGGCGAACCAAAAGACCCTAAAGTACCCGCCGTCAATACGACCCATTTCGGGGTCTTGATCTATGTGAATACCGACTAAACCCGCGGGTGAATGATAGCACATTCTTGCCCTAATCACTCTCTACATCGCGCCGTTGTTCGCGCTAATCGCTGCCCGCAATTATGTCGCGTTTTATGGGGTTTTTATGGATTATTTTTCAGCCAGATGCGGTTGGGTTTATGGGGAATCATCAGCGGGGTTCGAACCCAATTCGGGAAAACACGTGTGTGTATATTTTTATCTCACTCGGCGAAAATTTAATCAATTGCAAAGTTTTTTTTAGGATACCCGAGGATTCTACGACGTTTTTTGGCCTGACTTTTATATTCGCTGATCCGCGAATTTTGCGAAGGTGAAACCACAGTCTGCGGATGTCAACACCACGACCCACATTCAGCCCCGCTCCAGTGCCAGGTAAGTCCACTACGGGCTCACCATAGCCCGTGCTACTTGCCCCGCTCCTGTGCCAGGTAAGTCCACTACGGGCTCACCATAGCCCGTGCTACTTGCCCCGCTCCTGTGCCAGGTAAGTCCACTACGCGCTCACCATAGCCCGTGCTACTTGCCCCACTCCTGTGCCAGGTAAGTCCACTACGGGCTCACCATAGCCCGTGCTACTTACCCCGCTCCTGTGCCAGGTAAGTCCACTACGGGCTCACCATAGCCCGTGCTACTTGCCCCGCTCCTGTGCCAGGTAAGTCCACTACGGGCTCACCATAGCCCGTGCTACTTGCCCCGCTCCTGTGCCAGGTAAGTCCACTACGGGCTCACCATAGCCCGTGCTACTTGCCCCGCTCCTGTGCCAGGTAAGTCCACTACGGGCTCACCATAGCCCGTGCTACTTGCCCCGCTCCTGTGCCAAGTAAGTCCACTACGCGCTCACCATAGCCCGTGCTACTTGCCCCGCTCCTGTGCCAGGTAAGTCCACTACGGGCTCACCATAGCCCGTGCTACTTGCACCGCTCCTGTGCCAGGTAAGTCCACCACGGGCTCACCATAGCCCGTGCTACTTGCCCCGCTCCTGTGCCAAGTAAGTCCACTACGCGCTCACCATAGCCCGTGCTACTTGCCCCGCTCCTGTGCCAGGTAAGTCCACTACGGGCTCACCATAGCCCGTGCTACTTACCCCGCTCCTGTGCCAGGTAAGTCCACCACGGGCTCACCATAGCCCGTGCTACTTGCCCCGCTCCTGTGCCAGGTAAGTCCACTACGGGCTCACCATAGCCCGTGCTACTTGCCCCGCTCCTGTGCCAAGTAAGTCCACTACGCGCTCACCATAGCCCGTGCTACTTGCCCCGCTCCTGTGCCAGGTAAGTCCACTACGGGCTCACCATAGCCCGTGCTACTTACCCCGCTCCTGTGCCAGGTAAGTCCACCACGGGCTCACCATAGCCCGTGCTACTTGCCCCGCTCCTGTGCCAGGTAAGTCCACTACGGGCTCACCATAGCCCGTGCTACTTACCCGCTCCTGTGCCAGGTAAGTCCACTACGGGCTCACCATAGCCCGTGCTACTTGACCCCCCCCCCCTAAGTAAGGGTCATTAAGGGAGGTTGTGTGGGATCACTCATTAACAAATGACACATTTTTCGTTATGAATTTGACCTGGATTTACCTGATTTATCTCTCCAGTGGCCTCAACGTGGACAGGAAGCCGGCGGCTTGTCAAAATATACACATTTGTATCGAACTGGGACCTTAAATTGCAGTAATTATTCCTTCGGCGTCGTATTACGGCTTCGGTCTCGATTCACATTCGAGAATCCCAGATTCGAATCCCGTGCGGGACAGAGACGGTTGGGTACGTTTCCTTTCACCTAATGCAGCTGTTCACCTAGGAGTAAATAGGTACCTGGG